TCTACTGAAGAATTTATGAGGTTCTCTTAGCCCCTTCATCTAGCACCTAATAACAGTGCCACCTTTGCCTGAAAACCACCCTGCCTCCCTCAAGCACAGCCATCAAACACATTATAAAAGGAGAGCTTCAGGCTTCAGGAAACACCAGATAATGACAGAATTCTGTGGCAATCAGAAAGTATTAGCTTTGATTTCATCAGGCTGACAATACCAATAGACATGTAAGTTACAGTTGTATTCAATAAGAAGCTTGATGAAATTCAAAATCCCGGGCTGACCATTCTTTCTCAGTGCAATTGAGAGTTGGCCAGAGGACATTTGCCTTCTGGTGATAATCATGTCTTCAAAAAAGAACGAGGTAAGACAAAAATGTTTCCAACTGAATGAATATGTATGTTTGCCTCTGCTAGTCTAAAAATTTCACTAAGAACAATAGTAAAGTAGTATGAGTCTTAAGCCCAAAAGGGCAAAGAGAATAGAAACGTGGAGGACAAAAGGTGTCAACCCAAAATTGGGAGCTGGAATGAAGAGGAAAGATTGGCAACTGGTGTATCAAGCCGAGAGCACTGTTAAAATAACTTAATAGGAGGCAATTAGACAGGGTTGCTCTGAAGTTCTGGGTTTCCAAATAAGCAAACCAAAACCTAACTCAATACAACTGTTTGTATGTTTGTCTGTCTGTTTCTCCTTTTGTTTGTTTGTTTGTTTGTTTGGAGACAGAGTCTCACTATGTTGCCCAAGTTGGTCTTGAACTCCTGGACTCAGTGATTCTCCACATTCAGCCTCCCAAGTTGCTGGGACTACTGGCGTAAGCCACTGCAAAGGACTCTCTTTTGTAAGTGACTAGCTTAAAGGAAAATGAAACTGAAGCTTAACCACTCTGAAAATGCCAACTAACCTCTAACTGGAATGATCCAAATATGGCTACTGCTCCACTTTCAGCTAGCAAATATTTTCTTTCCCTAGTTCCACATTTACCTTATATAGAGCTTTCACTCCTGCACCTTCTGTCTGGCGCTATGGTCTAGAGCTGTCCAACTGATGCACTGCCGTTAGTTCAGATAAACTCTCTAATTTTAATGTGACAACCAGGTGCAATGGCTCATGCCTGTAATCCCAGCACTTTGGAGGCAAAGGCAGCGGATCACCTGAAGTCAGGAGTTCAAGACCAGCCTGGCCAACATGGTGAAACCTTGTCTCTACTAAAAATACAAAAATTAGCCAGGTGTGGTGACGCACACCTGTAATCCCAGCTATGCAGGAGGTCGGGGCACAAGAATCACTTGAACCAGGGAGGTGGCTGTGAGCTGAGATGGCACCACTGCACTCCAGCCTGGGTGACAGAGCGAGACTGTATTTTAAATAAAATAAAATAAAATTTTAACGTGCCACAGTTGATCTTTTAACAGTTCTGAAATCAAAGTGCCTAAAAGGAGTCCAGGTGGGTACGTGGAAGCAAGAGGGAGTTAATGGCAGCGGATTCACAATGCCGAAGCTCAGAAATCCTGGGAATTCAAGGCCCCAGGACTCCCCATAGGTGAGGTGCAGGTGGGTGGAAAAACAGGAGGATTGCTAAAGTCCATTTGTAAAGCAGTGGCAGGAAGCAAGAAGGCCAGAGTCAAAACAGTGCTGACTCCTGTGTGCAGAGTTGGTCTGCATGGGAGCTGCTGCATAGTCGTGGCTCACAGCCACCTGGCAGAAAGTGACTCAGAGATGGAAGGAGCCCCCGATTCCTATTCTGAGTCACCTGAAGATGGCAGAATGTGGAAAGCCACCCTTAGACCTCTGCTGAGCTTGAGTTCTGCCTAGGGTGACCCCAAAAGGAAGTCAATAGGAAGATATTATGACCAGAAAAACGCAAGCCTGTCAGATTTTCATTCTGATATTGTGATATTAGGTTTCAGCCCATGGTTCCTGGCTCATAACTCCCATAGCCCTTGTTTCAGTAAACAGGATCTTGCTCTCTGACCTTCTCCTGACCTCCTTGCACCTGCCAGGGGCAGAACTCTCACGTGACTATGGGTCATAAGACCCTCATTTCAGAAGGGGTTCTGCCGTGCACCCTGGAGGAAGGAATGTTTCCCAGAGAGGCCAAGAACAATCTGAACAGACAGGCCTTGCTGGGCTGGGATCATACCCTTTTATCCAATCACATCTCCACATGGCTGTCAATCATGCCTACCCAAGGAAGTCTTCATAAAAGGCCCAAGAGGACTGGGTTCGAAGAACCTCCAGATACCTGAACACACGGAGGTTCCTGGAGGGTGATGTTCTCAGGGAGGCCTGGAAGCTCTGCACCCCTTCTCACATGCCTTGCCCTATGCATCTCTCCATCTGTACCCTTTGTAAGAGCCTCCATAATACAACATTACCTGTAAATGTTTCCCTGAGTCCTGTAAACTGCTATAGCAAATTAACTGAACCCAAAGAGGGGCTGCAGAAACCCCAACTCGAAGTTGATTGGTCAGAAGTTTTGGAGGCCTGAACTTGCAACTAGTGTCTGAAGAAAGTCAGGGTGGGGGCACACAGTCTTGTGGGACTGAGCCCTCATCATGTGGGATCTGAGCCCTCATCATGTGGGATCTGAGCCCTCATCATGTGGGAAGCCATCTCCAGGAAGATAGCACCAAAAGTGAATGGGATTAAAAGACACTCGGCTGGGGTCTGTTTCTTTCTTTCTTTTTTTTTTTTAAGACGGGGTTTCACCATGTTGGTCAGGCTGGTCTTGAACTCCCGACCTCAGGTGATCCACCCACCTTGGCCTCCAAAGTGCTTGGATTACAGGTGTGAGCCACTACGCCCGGCCGGCTGGTGTCTGTTTCTTAGGGTATGGGGGAAAACCCACACACATTTGGTCACAGAAGTCTTTGCTGTTGTGGTGGTGGAGGTGGTATGAGGAAAAATGATTTGAGTTTTTTCAAACAAATATGTAAAGAGTTCGGAAGTCATCACTCCCATCCTTACAATAAGAAAAGATGCTGTACAGACTGAAATTCAGCAATTCTTTTCAGAACCATCAGAGAACTTAGGTCACAGAGCAAACTCCCACATCAAAAGCTGGAGAAACAGGTGAATCACAGCTTACTAGGAGCAGAAGCTGACGGAGATGAAGCCTGTGGGAACATTTAAACTGTAACTGACTAAGTGCTGGAGTTTGAGTGTGGACCAACCTGCTAGTTAAAAACTATTATGGGCTCAGTCCCAGGCTCCCCCCCACCCCACTGCCCCAACTGACACTTTCATGAGTTTTCCTCCAGAAGTCCCATTAGGTTCTTACAATGAAGATCACAGAAAAATCCCCTCATGTATAGGGCAGATGGAGAGAAGTAACCACTTTGAAATAAGCCCAGAAACTTCTGTTCTCCATAACAAAAGCCTTTTCTCAAAAGAAGCTACTTTGTTAAAGCCTCATCTGATCTTGTGGAAGGACAGTTAGACAATTAAGCCACTTTTAGCTTCCTAGCTCATAAAAAGGGAGGGAAAAAAACTAAAACTCTTCTGAAAAGTCACAAGCCAGCGACAAAGAGAGAATGAGAGAGAGAAAGAAAGAAAGAAAGAAAGAAGGAAAGAAAGGAAAAGAAAAAAACTAACTGAATCATGATTATAGGATGCTTCTTTTCCATAATGCCTTACCACCACATCAATAGGGTTCCAGTATACTGACAGTAGATTATAATAGACAAAAGACACAAGCTCTATTTAAGAAGGAGTTTCTAGGGAAATCCAAAGACAACAAGAAAGACAAAAAACAAGAACACTAGAGGAAACTGAAGTCTCTGATACTTATAACTACAGCAAACAGTAAACACAGCCTCACCAGATAAACAAAAAGCCTCAAACTAAAGGCCTATTTACCTCAGCTCCTATTACCCAATACATCATGTTCAGCATTCAACAAAAAAATTACAAAGCAGGCAAAAAGGCAAGAAAGTTTACAGTTTGAGGCTGGGTGCAGTGGCTCACGGCTGTAATCCTAGCACTTTGGGAGGCCGAGGTGGGTGGATCACCTGAGGTCAAGAGTTCAAGACCAGCCTAGCTATCATGGTGAAACCCCATCTTAAAAAAAAAAAAAAAAAGCGAAAGTTTACAGTTTGAATAGGAAAAGCAAGCATTAGAACCAGACTGAGGTATGGCAGAGATTTGGAAATTCTCAGGCAGATATTTTAAATAATTATGATTAATATGCTAAGGGCTCTAAAGGAAAAAAGTGAACTACATGCAAAAACAGTTAACCGGTTGATGCCAACCAGTTACAGTTTCTTTGTTCCTTCTCCACTCCTGTTGCTTTATTTAACCAGCCTTTAAAAATTTTTTTAAAAAAACAAATGGGTGAGAAAAGAAAGGAGGCTGGGTGTGATGGCTCACACCTGTAATCCTAGCACTTTGGCGGCCGAGGCAGGAGGATCACTTGAGGTCAGGAGTTTGAGACCAGCCTGAGCCATAGAGTGAGACTGTCTCTACAAACAATAAACAAAAATTTTTCAAGTAAAAAAGACAAAATGAAGGAAGAAAGCGATAGGGGGAAGGAGAAAGGAAGGAAGAAGAGAGACAGAAAGGGAGAAAGAAAATAAAGAAGATTCAAGGCCTGGCAAGGTGGCTCATACCTGTAATTCTAACACTTTGGGAGACCGAGGCAGGTGGATGGCTTGAGCTCAGGTGCTAGAGACCAGCCTGGGAAACATGGTGAAGCCCAGTCTCAACCAAAAATGTAAAAAAAAAATAATAATTAGCCAGGCATAGTGGTGAATGTCTGTAATCCCAGCCACCTGGGGGAGGCTGAGGCAGGAGGATCACTTCACCTTGGGAAGTCAAGGCTATAGTGAGCTGAGATGGTGCTACTGAACTCCAGCCTGGGTGACAAGGTGAGACCTGTCTCAATAAATAAATAAGAAAATTCAGTTTGGGAAAAACAAGCAAACACAGATGGGTAAAGTAAGCAGAAAGATGAAAACCCTAAGGAAGAATCAAAAGGAAGTGTTAGAAATAAAAAAAATACTGTCATCTTTTTGTAATTTCTAAGCATGGTGATCGATGGGCTTTCACGTGCATCTGTGAGATGTGACTCCTTCAAACCTTGTTGTGAAGTCAGCACATTACCTGGCAGAAATGAAAAGGAAAAAATAAATTTAAAACATTGTAACAAACATGAAGAATGCTTTGGATGGGTTCATTATTGGACTGGACACAGCCAAAGAATCAATGAAGTTGCAAATGTTGATATAAACTTCCAAAACTGAAATGCAAAGAGTAAAATAAATAAATAAAACCCCAAATATTCAAGAACTGTGGAACAATTACAAAAAGCATAAGATGCAAAATGGGAATATTTGAAGGAAAAGAGAAAGAAGCAAAACATATCCAAAGATCTTTCTTTTTCTTTCTTTTTTGAGACAGGACCTAACTGTTACCCAGGCTGGAGATCAGCGGCATGATTATGGCTCACTGCAGCCTCCACCTCCCAGGCTTCAGTGATCTTCCCACCTCAGCCCCACGTAGCTGGACAGGCGTTTGCCACCACGCCTCGCCAATCTGTGTATTTTTTGTAGAGATAGGGTTTTCCCACTTATCTAGGCTAGTCTCAAACTCCTGGAGTCCAGCAATATGTCTGCCGCAGCCTTCCAGAGTGCCAGGATTACAGGTGAGCCACCATGGCTAGCCTAAAAGAAATATTTAAAGCACTGATGGCTGAAAACATTCTGGAATTAATGATAGACACCAAGCCACAGTGAAAACCAAGCAAGATAAATAGCAAAAATCTGTACCTGCAGGAAGCAAGACAACTAAAAACCTTGAAAAAATCCAAAGGAAAAGAATTCCTTACCTCTATATAGAGGGACAAGGATAAAGATTATGTTACATGTTTTTTCAGAAACCACACAAGCAAGGCCTGGGCATGGGGGCACCTGCCTGTAGTCCCACCTGCTCCAGAAGTTGAGGCTGGAGGATTGCTTGGATGGCTTAAGTCCAAGAGTTCCAGGCTGTAGTGAGCTACGACTGCATCACTGTGCTACCGGGTTGTGGGACATGGGGGAGGCTCAGCTCCCCAGTGGCAGGTGCCCAGTGTGTCAGGTCCTTGGGCTCTCCTCCACCCAAGAATGCGTAGGAGGCCCAGGTGTGGTGATACTGTTCAAGTAAATATCAGACCCCAGGAGCTTTTGCAGAAAAGCGATTTGTTAGGCAGAGAGAGAAAGAGAAGTAGGGGGAGAGAGAGCCAGCTCCCACGCTGTCGTGGGAGGGGATCCCAGAGAGGGAAACCCACACAGGTGAGGGGCAGGGAGTCTTTTAATCTGGGAGTTCTTCCCGCCCCATCCAAGTTCTTGTCCCATGAGAGGAGTTCCTCCAAACTTCCGCCGGAATGACTGATCTTTGACTCTGACATCTGATTGGTTGTTTGGCCCACAGTCCTCCCATTGCTTTTTGCGGGCTTTTCTAAACAAAGGAAGCCCAACTGGGCAGTCTATCTTCTCTGAAACTAAGATGTCTAAGCTCCCAGACGGTGACGGGAAAGAAGGCAGCGGGGGCATGCCGCTGGGAAGTTCTTGCCTTTGAAACCACGCCCCTTGGGGACCCAGGAAGAGAAGTTAACACATTCCCTCAACTGCACTCCAGCCTGGGCAACAGAGTGAAACCTTGTCTGCAAATTAAGAGGAGGGGAGAGGAGAGGCCGGAGGGGAGGGAAGGGAAGGGGAGAGGAGACCACATGGCCAGGCACAGTGGCTCATATCTGTAATCCCAGAACTTTGGGAGGTCAAGGAGGGAGGATCGCCTGAGGTCAAGAGTTTGAGACCAACCTGGCCAACATGGTGAAACCCTGTCTCTACTAAAAATACAAAAATTAGCTGGGCATGGTGGCACACCCCTGTAATCCTAGCTACTCAGAGGAGAATCGCTTGAACCTGGGAGACGGAAGTTGCAGTGAGCTGAGATCATGCCACTGCACTCCATCCTAGGTGACAGAGTGAGACTCTGTCTCAAAAGAAAAAAAAAATGAAAAAAGAAAAGAAACCACAGAAGCAAGAAGGGAGTGGAGTGAAATATTTAAAGTGTTAATACAACTATAATTTGTCCATTTACCATCTAAAAAATATGGCTGGGCACAGTGTCTCCGCCTGTAATCCCAGCATTTTTGGAGACCAAGGTGAGTGTATCACCTGAAGTCGGGAGTTCAAGACCATCCTGACCAATATGGTGAAACTCTGTCTCTACTAAAAATACAAAAATTAGCCAGGAGTGGTGGCACGTGCCTGTAGTCCCAGCTACTTGGGATGCTGAGACAGGAGAATCGATTGAACCCGGGAGACAGAGGTTGCAGTGAGCCAAGATCACGCCACTGTA